TTTCTTATTTGCAGTAGAGTTTTTCTCTCTCAAATATTACAAACACACACTTTTTTTGTTTTATTACACACACAAACCACACTCTGCCATCCATACCAACACACCCACACAATTATCATTGCACAATTTATCCAATTGGCTCTATAATATGCCGAAGCAGAAAACAGGAATAAAGCGAGTATTTGCTTTATATGCCAAACCTGAGAAAATGGCTCATTTAATTTTGAAGCCTTGCCAACAGAATGAAAGCCTCTTAACAAAGATTGCATCATTTTATAGTTAAATGGTCCTGGGATTAAAAAATGCAGTTTTAATGTGTTTCAATGCGGATATTTTAGTCCAAAAGGTGCTGAGAGAAAGTATTGTACCTAGTGCAAAAAAGATTTTTAAAAGGAAATGGGGTGAATTAGTAAAATTCACACCTGTGCCAAACTTGATGCAGTTAGCATAAACACAGGCAAAGTGATAAAAAAAAAAAAAAAAAACTGAAAGAGACAAACATTTTCATAAGGATGCACAAGGGTTAACAATGCAGTTAAACTAAATGTACAAAGCAAACTTTGTTCGAAGTTGAAATAATCTCAACATTAGCAATAGAGCCCAACCGATATGGATCTTTGGGCGCCAATGGCGATTTTAGGGAGTAAAAAATGCCAGATATTGATATTGGCCGACATTATTTATGTGTATATTATAATACAGTAGCAATATTATTTTTGTGAATAAATAAGTAAGTTTGTAACTTTCTTGTGTTATCCGCAACTGTTCTGATAAATGTATAATGTCACTGTGATGGCATCTTGTTATGCATTTATTTTTTACTGTCTAATAAAATCAAATCGAATCAAATATTATAGTACAGTACCAGTCAAAAGTTTGGACATTCGTGTGTACTAACTTTTGACTGGTACTGTATGGAATACATAAACAGAATATATATATATAAACACAACTTTTGCAATGATCACTCAAATGTGGTGATCAAACACTTGTATGACAAAGATATGTAATGGAGGCAGGGTGAATGATAGAATGAGAATGATACATTTGAGCTGTAACGAAACTAGTTTGCATTGCATGTTCTATTCTATGTTCTATTCTATATTCTATTCTAAATACTGTTGCATAATCTTCACTAATGAGTTTGTCTTTTTATTTAGTCACATTATATAAAAAATAACTTATATCAATTTATATATAAAAAGTGTTACTGACAAACCCTTATTATCTTCTATTATTAGTCTTAATTCCTCTAGTCTCTACCAGTGGTGGAAGAAGTACTCAGATCTTTTACCAAAGTAAAAGTAATAATATCATAATGAAAACATGTTTAATTACATATGTACTTTTACTTAAATACTATTTTAAATAAGTAGGCCTGCCCTAAGTAGTCAGCAAAATATACTAAACGTTAAACTACTCATTATGCAAAATGGCCTTATATAAAGTGTTATAATTATATAAATTATTGGAATATTGCTTGATGTTGTAATGTAGCATTAAAGGCAGAATGGGCTGACAACTGTCTCTACACCGGACGCGGCCGTTGTTACTCGCGTCCCAACAGTAAAAGCTGTTTACCCTGGACGCGAAAAAGCAACCGTTACAAAGAATTTGTCCTTTGTGTCAGTACGTCATAAATAGAATGAGGCATCAGCTTACTGTCGGAGATTTGTCGCTTGCGTCGCGCCACATTCAGTGTAGACGCATCACTGATTATAATGGGTTCAACTGTCTTTTGTCGCATCCAGGGTTCTAAATTAACTTTTTTGATCACCAGCCAATGTGACTGGTAACTTTCTAAAGTTACCAGCCATTTAGAATTTCCACTAGCCAAATTTTTTTCCGGTGAAAATAAGAGAAATTATGAGTGCCACTGAATGCATTTGATCATTTTATTAACATTGTTTGCATGAAAAACACATATAAACAGAGGTGTAGTGGTAAAAAAAAGAGGTGGGTAAACTATAAATTCTGGTGGACCACGACGTGGTCACCCGGTAAGGTGGGCCACTGCCTACCGGTGTATGTGTATCTCCTGATGACATTGCTATAGGCAGGGCTCGACATTAAGCCTTTTCATACGCTTGTACTTCGGACAAGTAAATCTGTCATTCACTTCTCAGAGTAAAAATGTTTCTCGTCCGGATTTTTTTTTTTTTTGTGTTAATTTATTCTGAACAATATTCTCATCAGTGTTCAATCAGCTTTGATATTTAAATTGGCATATTGTAATTTCTGCACCTTTAAAGGGCATCCCCTCCCCCAATATTATTAAATGTATGCTTCATCTTTCATTTTAAATTCCTAAATTTGATCAATAAATTCAATTATTTCGAATAAGACACTATAGGGCTGATCAAATTAAATCATTTACACTGAAAAATTACAATTGCATAAAATAATGTTATGAAATTGATTTAAATTTACAAATAAGAAACGTTGGAAAGAATGATCTACTTTTAAACATAACACGAAACCGCCAGTAGGTGGTGTGGTGGCAGGCGACCGTCTTAATGAGTGAGTCATTGATTCATTCATTCAAACGATTTGTTCAAACAGCTGATTCATTCAAGAATGAGACAGATGTTTATGAATGGGTCATTGAATCTTTGACTCAATCGATTCGTTTCAAAATGCTGAATCATTCAGTAATGAAAACAGGTTGAGTGTTCCTGTGAGATGCGCCGTGGTTCTGCTGTGATTTTTGTTTGGAACTATTTTCGCTGCTGAAACAGAACAAAAACAGCCAATATTGCATCTAAAATGTAAGTGACTTAATTTTAACTGTTTATTAGCCTGGTTAAAACCAGACCATTCTCAGTTGTAACTGAGTTATGGTCTGGCAAAGCGTCATAGACAAATCATTTCCAGAGGGGCGTCACCAACGGACGTCGCGGATAGACCTAAAACCAATCAGAGCGATGAAGGAGATGACGTATGCAGAACGGCGGAGAATCTCCGAGTGTTGTTCTTTGCTCGGTTTTTAACAAAAAGGAAACGTTCAAATCGCTTAAAACAGACGCGATAGCTGATTCGAACGAGTGATGTTCGACGGCGGCATCCATCTTTGTAATGTAGGCTACAAAATCTGCTTCAAAATCCCAGCGCTGTCATCATCGTGTAAAGCCCGCCCCAACGTTTCTGATTGGTGCCTCGATTTCGGCGGATTGGAAATGGGCTTGAATGAGCTCTTTGCCAGACTAACTTTCAGAGCAAATCTAAATTTGCCGGAAGTTGTCTGGGTTTTCCCAGGCTAACTGTTTATTGAACTGTTGTAGGAAATCAATGTCACATTTTCAATCGTGATGGTGTTCAGGAAAAATAATTGAGGTTGCTTAACATATGGGTAACACTTTAGAATACTGTATCTTACTTAATGCATAATTAATACGGAATTATTGCAGAACTAATAGGTAATTATTTATGAACACTTCAGTCACTACTATTAACTACTAAGGAAGATGTGTTAACTAATCGGTAAGTAATATCATTTTTTTTATTGGGTTAAGTAACAATTAACTAATCAATAACTACTGAATTCAGTCATGCCTCCTGAAGAACTACTATTAAGTATCTACTAATTAAGGTTCATCAAAAATAACTATGAAGTAACTACTAATGAACAGTCACACAATTAGCCATTACAATAATCAGGTTGGTCTTTTTCTTTACTACCAATGCTAGTATTATTATTATGTATGTATATATCATTATTTTTACTACTATAGAAATGCAATATGGATTTAGTGGAATTACTGCACTCCCAAAAATAGTCATTTAAGCAACATTTTTTTTCCTGTATGGTCTATTGCTTTGTGAGTGAGGTCTTTAAGAAGAAATAAACTTAGGAATGGAACCCCATCCCAACTCTAAGTGCCTTGCCATAACTAGCCAACTTACCGCAGGTAGGATTATGAATTTATATACAATACAGTATGTGTGTCTGTATTGGGTAAACTATTTCAAATTAGGCAATGACTGAGGGGAAGTGAAAATACAGGAAACCCATGAATATTTAAAAAAGAATTACTACATAATTCTTAAGGAATTACTTAAAAATTACTGAAGGAAAGTGAAAATATAGGGAAACCATTAGTAATTACTGCATAACTCTGAGGGAATTATCTAGAACCTGGAACAGTATTCTAAAGTGAAAATATAGGGAACCCATTAGTAATTACTGCATAACTCTGAGGGAATTATCTAGAACCTGGAACAGTATTCTAAAGTGAAAATATAGGGAACCCATTAGTAATTACTGTATAAATCTGAGGTAATTATCTAGAACCTGGAACAGTATTCTAAAGTGAAAATATAGGGAAACCATTAGTAATTACTGCATAACTCTGAGGGAATTATCTAGAACCTGGAACCGTATTCTAAAGTGAAAATATAGGGAAACCATTAGTAATTACTGCATAAATCTGAGGTAATTATCTAGAACCTGGAACAGTATTCTAAAGTGAAAATATAGGGAAACCATTAGTAATTACTGCATAACTCTGAGGTAATTATCTAGAACCTGGAACAGTATTCTAAAGTGAAAATATAGGGAACCCATTAGTAATTACTGCATAACTCTGAGGGAATTATCTAGAACCTGGAACAGTATTCTAAAGTGAAAATATAGGGAACCCATTAGTAATTACTGCATAACTCTGAGGTAATTATCTAGAACCTGGAACAGTATTCTAAAGTGAAAATATAGGGAACCCATTAGTAATTACTGCATAACTCTGAGGGAATTATCTAGAACCTGGAACCGTATTCTAAAGTGAAAATATAGGGGATAATGAATGATTATCGGGTGCTGAACTGTAATTCCACATTACAAGATGACAAATTATTAGAACATTGAAATTTATTGCAAAAAAGTGTTGAAAACATGTTTTCAAAAAAAAAAAAAAAAAATTCCACAACAAAACAGCAGGTAATCACTGTCATAAAGAATTGTTTAAATTCCAAAACTTTTACACCAAATTACAAAAAAAAAACTGACCAAATAAAATGTCAACAAATAAAATTAATGTGTATGCACTCCCAAGGCCTGAACTTCAACCTTGCCAATGTTTCTCTAACACACTTTTGAACAAAAGTTACTTTTGTTTTTGGCAAAGGTCAATGAGCAAGCCATTTTTCTTTTTTTGCTCAATGACACTTTGAAGTGGCTCCTTCATGCACATTTCTTTGCATTGTTCTGCAAACTGTGACAGTTTCTGGCCTCTGTGGAATGTTTCTCGCAAGGTCTTGTAGGCTTCACCGTCACAAGCCTCTAGCTCAGCTATCGCTGCAGTATCCACTATTGTTTTGCGGTCAACCCCACACTTGTGGTATGCCAGCGTTTTGGTGATTCCCTGTTGCAAGTACTGCAGGACCTTTTTATATCTTTGGATTGCATGCTCTGGTAGAAACACTGGGAGAGAACAAAGGTGCATGATTGGTAAATAACTCAAATAAGACTATATTTCTCACACACACACACACACACACACACACACACACACACACACACACACACACACACACACACACACATACATATATATATATATATATATATATATATATTTTTTTTTTTACTTTTTCCTAACAATAAATATGTTTCATGATATGATACGATGAAACGCTCTCGATAGGATTCAAAACAATGCAATAGAGTTATCAAAACAGTGTCCCAAATAGTGTGCTTGAACTTATTCACAAATCAAATTTGAAATTCAAGAAATGTTTTTTAAATATGTAATTACACAATACTGAATGCTATTTGAGAGCAGAAAGAACTCTTAATAATGTGGAAAATCCAAGGCACATTACATGTCACACAAAGGTTTTTCATTTTTTTCAATATCAATTTAAATATCATTATTGAGTCTGTTTTTACATGAACAAATATTGTTACACCAAATATTCATTTAGCTTTCTATGATGTTAATTGAGAAGTTAAAACTATTTATGACATTTTTTTTGATAATGCACTTACTAGACAACATTTTACACTAGTATTTAAAACGTTTTCCCAGTACTTTAGGACCCCATTATAAGTATAACCTTGATGATGGCATAGTTATTATGACATTATGACAATAAGAACATACCTCTTCTGCTTTTTTGCATTTTTTGTCCAGCTTTCTTTGATTTTTTCTTATGTTTCCTTGATTTGTGGGGTGAAGACGAAACAGATGAATCAGAGGTGGAATAAGACACTGATTCATTGGAAGAGGATGAAGAGTCAACTTTGTTTGACTTTTTTTTCTTTTCCTTTCTTGCCCTTCTTTTGCCCTTTTTTTCATTCAGGTTGTCTACTTCATCAGAAGAGTCAGGGTTAACAATCATATTTCGCATTTTGGAGGAAGCTCCTTGCATCTCATCCTTTGCTGACAATGCTGACAAGAAATACAGAAAAAAAACACGTCTCAGTTATGCATGTACCCTTAGTTCCCTGAAGAACCGCTGCATCCTCGCTATTGGTTCCATATGTGCTTCACGAAGCAATCACGCAGAGGTGTTCCCACAGCGATGTAGCTCAACCATAAGTTTATCAGTAATGAGAATACATTTTGTGCACAAAAAAACAACAAAAATAATGACTGTATTTAACTATTCATTTTCTTCATTATTATTTTTTATTTTTGCGCACAAAAAGTATTTTCTTCACTTGATAAACTTATGGTTGAGCTACTTTAGTCACTTAGACTATTACAAACATTGTCTTTTCTAATTGCCTGGGCCGTCAAGTTTCAATTACAATAGAAGCCTATGGAGGAGTGAGACAGCTCTCAGATTGAATCAAAAATATCGTAATTTGTGTTCCGAAGATGAACGAAGGTCTTACGGGGTTGGATCAACTTGAGGGACAGTAATTGCTCATTTTAATTTTTGGGTGAACTATCCCTTTAATGGCCAATTTGCATGGGATAAGAAATCTCAGTAAAACTATTCGCACGGTATTACCTGAGGTGATTTTCCCGGACCTTTTTAAAGAAGGTAAAAGTCGCCGTAATCTTTACTGACATTGTCCGTAATTATAACTGAGATTGCACATTTGAACGGGACTAAAATCACTGAGAACCTCTGGTAATAATTACTTTACCCTCCTTTCCATGATTAAATAGTCTCGTCCAAATAGGGCTTAAATCTGTCATTGTATATTGAATGCATTTGCAGCCTTTTCACCTAACTAGACTTGCGATGTTGTTAACTGTGGAGATGAAAAAGGGTCCAGTCTCAGTTAGCCATGATGATTCATTTAACTCGTTAACGAAAGGGTCCAAAACCACGAGTGTACCCTCTCCATAATGTGACATGTGATTGAAATGTCAATTGAGTCCTCAGAATTTTAAGCAAATTTGTATGCTCTTCAATCGTTATAGAGATTGACTTATACTTTATTTTTATGTTTTAATGAGTGCATATTAAAAAATGTACAGTACTTTTTATTAGACAGAGAGCATTTTACCATTTGTCAGACTGCTGCGCAGGAAATCCCTCTCGCTCTCTAGATCTCTGCATTTGTCCTCAAGGACTTTGATTTTTGATAGCAAAAATATGTTTTCTTCCTTAATTTTCATTAAGGACACCTGCAGGGTTGGTGCAGGTGGTGTTGGTGGTGTTGATGCTTCTGTTGAAACAAAACACAAACATTTTATTTATGTTAAGAGAACAGCCAAAGTTGATTGGATTTATTATTAGATTAAATATAACATGTCATATGAAATCAAAATGTCATAAAAAATAAAATTTGCCTTGATGTTGTGATATAATAATTTATAATTAAAAAGTTACAGAGCTCTAAGTGTTCCACTTCCCTAAAAAGAGCATTTATTGTTTTCACCCTGCGAAAACAAGTTTTACAATGTAGAAATTGATAATCTAATGCATGTAATCTAAGTAATAGTTCCCACAGTTTTCATTGTACTCATTAAACTGATAATCAAACAGAAAGTTGCCCAGTGCTGTAGTGGTTACCAGGGTAACCGGTCCATAGCGCCATCTGCTGTCAGGGAGTAAATTAGAATTTCATTCGGCCCATGGTGGTCATGGGCAATCATTATCAGAATTATTTAGTGTTTTAGAACGCACTTAACTTATTTAACGGTATGCCATTTGGTGCCAGCTGGCATACGTAAAATAAGTTAAGTGCGTTCTAAAACACTAAATAATTCTGATAATGATGTAGGCCTACTATACTTATTTGCGGTATTTAGAAGTGGCCACAAATCACGTTAACAAAACCGCTTGTTCATTACAGCGATATCGTATTACCGATTACCGGTGTTATACCGAATTCTTATAGTGATGGTAAGTTTAGGATTAGCTCAATACAGTTCAATTACTGCGGTCACTTTGGTGGGCCACAGAATTCGGCACAACACAGGCATGATATGTCTGATTAAGACGCAACGTTACATACTAATATACTGTACAACTTTAAGAAAACATATAATGAAATATACAATTACCGGCTTCTTCGTTATTCTCGTCGATCAGACGTTGAGGTCGAGCCCTTTTCCGCGGATTTTTCTTCTCCATCGCCACGCTTTCTTCCGAGCTGGAACTGTATGTCATACGGTTCTCCAATCCTATTTGCGTACAACGCCCATCTCGGCTAATGAATTCAATCATTTGGTGTGACTCGTCGAGTTCATTACTCCAAAGTGTAATGATATTAATGACTGGCTTTATCCCAGTTCTTTTAACATCTTCCAACATTTTAATAACGTTTTTGTTTTTTATTCTGTCTTGCTTAAGCTGTGTGTATGCCATGTTTGGTCCGCTAAATGGCTCTTAAATGAAACGCTTCTTTCCGGATCTTTTCAACCGGTTCGCAAATACTGATCCGGAATGGGCAAATGCATCCAAATCCCTTTTAGGTATATGCTTTAAGATTTAGATAATTTTGTAATCGTCCTGGGATCACATGCACTTTCCCTGAAATTTCAAAAGTAGAAAAGTAAAGCTTCTAAATGTTAAGTTATTATAATACTATCACGAAAAACTCAATTGTCCAATGAGGGCATTGCTTTTTCAGATATTAAGTGGCTTTAGGGTATTACGTAACTTTTCCAAATAAGGACAAAAAGGCGCCTACTGAACCGGATATTGTAGGTCTCCCTCCCCCCTTTATTTCATATCCCCTTGCTGTATAGTTTTGCTTGGTTGCAGGTTTTTGAACAGCAAAATAATGGCACTTGGAACGAAAGTTGTTTCACTTTGTGAGCAAACCAGCAGAAGAGGGACCAGACGATTAATTGAATGGCTACAAAAACATAGACTCATGAAGTCAAGGATGAAATGCAGACTGTGTAAAAAAAAAATGAAATTCCAGAAGACACAAACAGGAGATGGATACCAATGGTAACAATATTAATACATCTTTTTTTTTTTTTATAACTACAATTTATCATGTTTATTGTATATTTTACGATATTGAATTTCTAATCTAAATTATGTTTATGGTGATTTCAGGGAATGTAAAAAGCGAACACATAGTAAGAAAGTGAAAAAGACATGCAGGGCGGGATCAGTTTTTGAGAAAAGCAAGGTCACCTTACAAAACTGGATGAAGTTCATGTACCGGTAGGTAATAACACTGATCTATATAATGACATTATATTATTATATTATTATTGTATAGAGTTAAGAATTTTTTCCAAGCTCGATTTTACAAATACAAACACATCAAGGACAAATAATCTACCGATTGGTGAGTCAAAAACTATTTTGGGCTTAGGCTAATATTGAATTGATGTGGTTGAATTAATGCAAGCCATTTGCCTTTCAATTGAGCAGTGTGTGATTTTACTTTTGCTGACTGACAAACATAATTGGCCGTTGCACAACAATTAAGGATTAAGAATGGTAAGAATACGTTTTTTGTATGAATATCGAAAATATCGATGTATGTATACAATTATACTGTTAATGTTATTTGATATGTCGTGCTTGTGCGTAACGTTTACTGTTATTACGTATTATTATCCTAAACAATAAATCAGATAATCTGGCTTTCATAACTCAGTGCCTACCCTCTTTAAGACATCACCGCACGTCACTGGTAATAATAGGCTGTAAAAATAATTCACAGATTTAATATCTTGATCTTCGATCATGTCTCTACTCTACACCAGACATCCAGTCGCATCCAGTGTAGCAGCATCACTGATTACATGGGTTAAATTTGCTTTTGTCACGGATCTCTGATGTAGACGGTGTTAGTTTAAGCTGTGAATATGTAGGTGCTAGTTAAAGTACCGTAAAAAAAACAGTAATGAAATTAACTTCTTTTTTTTTTTTCAGATACTGTCAAGGACTAAGATTAAGGCAGGTCGACATGATGCAGGATGGCATAGCTGGAAGTTCAGCAACCCTGAGTAAAATGAGTCAAAAGCTCAGATTGGTCTGTAAAGATGCTTTAAAGAGATATAAAAAGAAGACTGGACAGAGTATGGGTGGAAGAACAGAGTTCATTGTTATAGATGAAAGCAACTTCCGCCATAAAAGGAAGGTGGGATATATTGTATTATTATTAATAATTTTATGTTTATGAGTTCAAGGGAAATTTCACAGATGATGCCAACATTGAAAAAAAAGTCAAATATAGCTTTTAAACAAACTTCAATTTAAATGTGCGTAATAATTAAACAATTTAAAAATACATGTAGGCCTACTGTAAAATATGTCCATGTTAAATTACAGTAACCTACTGGCAGGTACATTTACCAGCATATAATTCTACAGTGTACTGTAATCACAGTTTATTACTGTTAAAAACATTAGACTACTGTGCTGTATAGAATACAGTACAAGATTTACATACAATTATACTGTTAATGTTATTTTACTGTTCCTATGGTAATCTCCATTAAGTGTTAAATACTGTAAAATTCCTTGAAGTACTGTAGAATATGATCTTTACAATATAACAGACACTAATATTTTATTATTTTTTACATTATAATATTAAACCCTCTGAAAATTGATTGCATTGAAATAGCTCAGTCAAGAATGACATTACATTTTTTATTAATTTTATTAAATTCAATACAGTATCTCACGCATTCAGTAATTCACTAATTAAAACTTAAATACATTATACACCCTATAATTAAAAAAAAATCCAGATCTGAATGACTTTCTTTCTTCTGTTAAACTGTTAAATCTTCAAAAGAATATCTCAGCTCTGTATGTCATACATTGCAAGTGAATGGGTGCCAACACTCCAAAGCTAAAAATTCATCATGATCGAGATTAAGGCTAAAAACATTTACACTGATTTACATTGAGAAAGGAGATATATTTTGTTTTGTTTTCACCCAAATACTTTTGAATTACTTCAGAAGATACTTATTAAAGACTATTTGTATGTTTTTGAAGTGTTTGCAGCCATTCATTTGCATTGTGTGGAAGTATAGAGCTAATATATTCTAAAAAGCTTCATTTGTGTTGAGCAAAAAAAAAAGTAATACACATCTGGAATGCTGGAATGAGTATGACTAAATAATAGTATTGTAATTTTAGGCTGAACTATTCCTTTAATGTACTCTGATTTCAGTATCAGTCTTTAATGTGCAATAGTAAGCAAATTGAGGAACAAACCTGGAACTTAAAATTGTATTTAGTAAAATAGCACCCTTGCATTTGATTTATTTATTTGTTTGTTACAGTATTTTAATATTTAAAAATAAAAAAAAATGATATATTCTTGTTACTACAATGAATTTGACATGTTTCTTTGCAAAACATAAAATGTTATTATTTTACTGTGGTTTGGATGAAAGTTCTGTAGAATTTTTTTATTTTATTATTATTTTAAAGGACAATGCTTATGCAGCCAATCAGAAAAAGCAGTTATTAACAGTATTTTTGTATTTCTAGTATGGACGTGGGAGAGTAGGTGGAACATGGAAAAGGAAAAAGTGGGTGTTTGGCATGCTGGCCATTAAAGCTCAAAGACGACGACCGATTTTGCGACTCGTAGAACGCCGTTCAAGAAATCATCTCATTCCCATTATCAGAAGACATGTTCGCCCAGGATCCACAATTTTAAGTGATGAGTGGAGACCCTACAGGGCTTTGACAGGGCTGGGCTACTCTCACTACTCTGTGAATCACAGCAAGTTCTTTGTGAACCCAAATCATGGAGGACACACACAACATATTGAAAGGGCATGGTCTACATACAAAAGTCAGATCTGGAGATTGAGAGGCAACAAGACCGAGAAGCTCTTGAAGGAACACCTGGCTTGTATTGAATGGACTTATTGGATGGGGATGGAGCACAGATATGGTCCTCTGGGGCGTTTGTTGAAGGATATTAGAAAATATTACTGCATTTAAGACATTACAACAGATGTTGTAATTCAAACATTGTTCAGTAAAGTTGTTTGAGGATATGAAGCTAATAAAAAATAATTAAACTGACACTTGAGCCATAACTTTATTGAAATACTAAAACAATCACTCATTACTAATGCATGGGTTCCCTTTTTCACTTTAGAATACTGTTCCACTTTCTAAGATATTCCCTCAGAATTTTGTGGTAATTATTTATTAATTACTAATGGGTTCCCTATATTTTCACTTTAGAATACTGTTCCAGGTTCTAGATAATTCCCTCAGAGTTATGCAGTAATTACTAATGGTTTCCCTATATTTTCACTTTAGAATACTGTTCCAGGTTCTAGATAATTCCCTCAGAGTTATGCAGTAATTACTAATGGGTTCCCTATATTTTCACTTTAGAATACTGTTCCAGGTTCTAGATAATTACCTCAGAGTTATGCAGTAATTACTAATGGGTTCCCTATATTTTCACTTTAGAATACTGTTCCAGGTTCTAGATAATTCCCTCAGAGTTATGCAGTAATTACTAATGGTTTCCCTATATTTTCACTTTAGAATACTGTTCCAGGTTCTAGATAATTACCTCAGAGTTATGCAGTAATTACTAATGGGTTCCCTATATTTTCACTTTAGAATACTGTTCCAGGTTCTAGATAATTACCTCAGAGTTATGCAGTAATTACTAATGGGTTCCCTATATTTTCACTTTAGAATACTGTTCCAGGTTCTAGATAATTACCCCAGAGTTATGCAGTAATTACTAATGGTTTCCCTATATTTTCACTTTCCTTCAGTAATTTTTAAGTAATTCCTTAAGAATTATGTAGTAATTCTTTTTTAAATATTCATGGGTTTCCTGTATTTTCACTTCCCCTCAGTCATTGCCTAATTTTAAATAGTTTACCCAATACAGACACACATACTGTATTGTATATAAATTCATAATCCTACCTGCGGTAAGTTGGCTAGTTATGGCAAGGCACTTAGAGTTGGGATGGGGTTCCATTCCTAAGTTTATTTCTTCTTAAAGACCTCACTCACAAAGCAATAGACCATACAGGAAAAAAAATGTTGCTTAAATGACTATTTTTGGGAGTGCAGTAATTCCACTAAATCCATATTGCATTTCTATAGTAGTAAAAATAATGATACATACATACATAATAATAATACTAGCATTGGTAGTAAAGAAAAAGACCAACCTGATTATTGTAATGGCTAATTGTGTGACTGTTCATTAGTAGTTACTTCATAGTTATTTTTGATGAACCTTAATTAGTAGATACTTAATAGTAGTTCTTCAGGAGGCATGACTGAATTCAGTAGTTATTGATTAGTTAATTGTTACTTAACCCAATAAAAAAAATGATATTACTTACCGATTAGTTAACACATCTTCCTTAGTAGTTAATAGTAGTGACTGAAGTGTTCATAAATAATTACCTATTAGTTCTGCAATAATTCCGTATTAATTATGCATTAAGTAAGATACAGTATTCTAAAGTGTTACCAACATATGTTAAAAATATAAAAACTCCACATTTAGATTTTTTATAGGCAGTATGTTGTTAACTGAGTGTGTGTGCGTGCTCATTTGTGTAGATTTCTCCTCGAGAGGCTGCGCGAGCGTCAACAGCGCAACCTTACCGTCAGTAATAGTCAACAAAACTGACAGTAATGCAGCGCAATATGAAAGAGTTCGTCTTAGGTTTACCAACCTATGAAACTAATAATGAACAATATGAAAGTAAAACGACATAACCTTAATTTATAGCTATTTAGAGGTGGATAAACGCAATTTAGAGGGGGATAAACGCACTTTGGAGGTGGGTAAACGCTATTCCCGAATATTGGGAGGTGCGTAAACGGCGTTTACATGCGTTTAGCCTCCACTACATCCCTGCATATAAAGTACAATACAACACAGAAAGTGCAAACATTTCATTTCAAGTTTGGGATCTATCTATCTATCTATTAGGGATGTGCACGAATATTTGAATTTTCGATCTGTAATTATTATTAAAAAAATAAAATACTATTCAATTTTTTTTTCGCAGTTATAATTAAATGCACTGGGTGGAGCGTTTGGATTGTATTTGATCACATAACGTCATTGTCTGCCTCGCGAAGTTTGGAATTGCTTAGATGAAAATGATAGCCTATTACAAAATGGAATTACGTTTAGGCCTAATCAATTATTAATAGTGCTGGGCAAGTTAACGCGTTATTATCGCGTGAACGCATTTATGAATTAATGCCGACAATTTTTTTATCGCGCGTTAACGCAGAGGTTTTTTTTTATTTTATTTTGAAAGTCTGTTGCTCACTGCCTCTGAATACACATAGGCCTACAGTCAAACCATGATCACAGGAGGGGTGGGATGTTGGTCAGCCAGCAAATAACCCACCCAAACAAGCAGTGGAGAGGCTTTGGCAGGTTCTCTCAGGTGAACAGAAAGGGAGACAGCGCTCCGCAAGTGAATGACAGGCGCTCTATGGATAGTAACCATGGCACCGGCTTCTGTGCGCTACGCAGTAGCCTTTTTAACTTAAATTAAAATTATACATAACTTTACCTGATAGGCCTGCGTTTAGTTTAGCGGGGATGCTCTGCCATGTGAATTCCCTCCTGTTGATGTCCTGATAACTATTTAGATTCTGGAAACTCACAAACAGCGAGCCGAGGATCAGTCTCCAATGATTTGTGCTGCGCGTCGTGTACAAAAAGTTAGACAGTTCAACTTCGGCAACGCGCGGGCGCGTGCGTGAGGCGAGCATGACCGCAACAGTTTCACAGGAACGCACCCGCTTGTCGCTGCACCTGTGCTCGACCACTTCACCTCACTCGTCACTCTAGGCTGATTTATACTTCTGCGTCGGACCTACACCGGAGCCTCTCTACGCTATAGACTACGCGTTGGTTTTCATTTATATATCTGCGTCGTTGTCCGCGTTGACGCGCAATTACACATGAGGGAGAGTGTGAAACCCGGGGAGCGGTTCTAGCAATCACAGCGCTTGCGGTACGCGTAGAATTGACGTTACATTTTTGGAGAGATGCACGTCAGGGTACGCGCGCTACACAGCTACGGCGTGAGTTCGATGCAGAAGAATAAATTGGGCTTTACCTCTGTTTAATGTAATCTTACGTGGGAAACCATGGCATGCCATGACCAAACCTAAGCTGCTATCAGAGAAGTAACGTTGGTCGACTTATATCTGTAGTAGTGATCATGACCCTTTGACTACATAGACTGTTTCTGCTACTCCCTGATACAAGATACCTGTTCAGAAAAAAAGAAAACTGGACTCGTTTTAACAAGCTAGATAAAAGGTAATGCCCTGGCAGTGGCAAATAGCTTTGTTTAAATATTTGATTTGATTACATTAATGTTTAAGTTGAGATTTACAAGAAATATTTTATTGATACTGTGTAAAGGGAATACTGCTGGTATAAAAGCACCTTATTTGTTTAAAGTTTTTGCAAACCACATGTTATTGCACTTTTGTAGCAGTACATTTAAATCAAAAGTGCGCAATACACTACTAGAATTCATTATTCAATTTTGCGCGTAACAATGCTATTAATCGCGATTAATCGCAAGAAAATCATGCGATTAATCGCGATTAAATTTTTTAATCGTTGCCCAGCACTAATTATTAATTAAACTGAGTTATCCTAATATCATCACCACAATGAGAAATCACATGAAATCCAAAGAAACACCAGTCGACTGAGGAAGCAGCTGTCCATCACTGCATTAACGACTGCAGGTCAGCAGCTGTACCCCGATATCTTCTGGTAGCAAAATGATTTTGAGACATATGCTTCCTTTAAGTTTCGTTGAGGGAGACAGGTTTGATGGTGCGTTCTATTATTTATCCGTGTCGGAGTTCTGACTAGGAAGACAGACGTTGCCTAGCAACACGCACCAACACGCCCCCTTTCCTCGGATTTTCCCGCTCGGATTTCGAACAACCGTGAAGACACCGAGCAAGAATTCTGATACGGAATCCAAGATGGCTGCGCCCTGTGTGACTTAGTATGAATTCTTGTCATTGTTTTTGGACCGCTTTGGTTGTTTAAATGAAGATTTGAATCACTCGTATTACTGCAATATCTTACTGCGTCCGTATCACTGCCTGTGGGTATGGGAATCGGTCTTGTTGTGAGTGCAATATTGAATGAAGCCTTGTTTCAAACGGGTGCTACTAACGTGGCTAGCGTTGCTAACAGAAGATAAACTAAAACATGAAATAAAGTGAAAATTTTAGAAGTTCAAATGGCTGAGTTTTGATAAGCGCCTGGTACTCGGCCAGTGCTACCATAGCAACAGCTTTCCGGTTGGCGTCCATGTTTTTTCTCCAACTCGGATGTGCAAAACATACCAGAACGCTTGAAGTGTGGAAATGGCGTCATATCCGAGGGCCGAGTCAGTTCGTTGACAATAATAGAACGTACCATAAGAAAAGAAAAACGCATGCTGTTACTTCACTTTGCACACACACACGTGTCTCTGCAACGTCTGTGTCAGCGCAGCGCGTTTTCTCACTCGAGCATGTGGATATTATTGTTTTTCTCAACATGAACGTGAAACAATATAAACACGTTAATCATATGCTGACTCGAGTATGTACGTTCTGTACGATAACTGCTTTTCTAGTCTGCTTTTCTTTTTCTTTTCTTTTTTTGTGTTTTTTCCCCGTTTGCGCTGCTTGAGCTTAAATGCTTTTGTTGTTAATATTTTTTTGTTTACACATATTGTTTACTGTTTTCAACTAAAAGAAAACCTTAAGATATATAGTAAGCTTGTTGTGTATATTGCCTAATGTATATAGGGGTTAAAGTGAAAAAAATTCATGTCCCCCCTGTCCGCATAGGAAATTACGCCCGTGGGTAGGACATCATCCCCAGGCTTCATGAACTTGCGCTCCATGCTTTCACCGACGACGCCAACGTGACGTATGGATCTCAATAACACTGCACTGTAAAATCAAATCATACTCCTTACTATAAAAATACTAGTAGGTTTACTTGATTTTAACCAAAATGTTGAGTTTACTACAAATTTTATATTGTTGCTGAAATATTAGAAAATATAGCTCCCATAACTAACGTAATTTAAGTAAAATTACTCAAAATGTCCAAGAGGTGCTGTTACGCATGCGTACTGGTCCACAATTTCCCCCTCCCCCACACACAGCACAGAAGCACATGCAGCTTTTGCCGAGAGGATCGCACGTCGTGAAGTTCAAGGTAAACTCTTTTAATTTAAACCTCATTTTCTAATTTGTTTGTGTGCTAGTCTTAATAATCGTTACATTTTCTGCACGTTGTTAGTTGCATTCTGTTTTGTTGAATATATTAGCCCATGTTAAGAACTTATACAAACACGTTTTGACCACTGCATCATCTGAAGCAATTTCTGCTCAAACTAGTTATTTTCCGCTTTATATCTGTAAATCCAGCTGTCTGGTTGCCTATTAATTACTATTAACGTTAATTAATTAATTTGTTTTAGTGATGGGCAACGTTAGCCAGTAATTTGAACTGATGATTGGCCATGAATGATTCTGCAGACGCGATGGTTTAACGTTACAGAATTCAAAATTCAGTGACAACTGTACAAAACGTGTCAAATGGGTCACCTCGTTTTGAATTTTGTGTTTATGGAATGATTTTCGTTGACGCTCAGCATATAGGCCTACTGTAGGATAGCTGGACGCGCCAATTTCGAAAGAGGGCGCACAATCCAGGCAAAGTAAGTTACAAATGGATGGAAAAGACCGCTAACAGATCAGTTATTTTAAAATCTTTAAAATAACAATTTAACTTGACAGGGCACGTTAAAAACGCAACGATAAATGCTGAACTCCAGTCAGGCCGGTTGCTTCGAAAATTAAATGCGTGCTTATTATGATAATTACGGCAATATGCAGGCAGCACAACAAGGAAATTGTGAGGTGTTTTTTTATCGAGTTTGTTACGGAGTATTTAGCAGACCCCTTAACCCACCTCCTCAAGCAGAGTATAAACACATAATATAACATTTTATATAACATTTGTATAAACTTATTTAAATATAAGTTAGCTCATAAACTTTAACAGTCTTAGTTTTAAATTAATACCTAATGCATGTGCTGTTTCCATTTAACTCATTGACTAACTGCTTTGCATGTGTCTCACAATTTGGGGAAAAAAAGAGAGGGAGAGAAACACTGGTCTATGCATCTGATTATGTTGTTTGTTCATTGACTTTTGATTGATGGAATAACTTATTTATTTTTTATCTTTTAGAATACCAGTTGATGGGCTGCTATGCAGTGGAAATGTAAGTTATGCACTTACACATCAGAAAAGAGGGCACAACTTCTTAAACACTATCGCATAAGCCATGGAACATATTCACGAATTGTTCCAGTACCATGTCTCCATTCTGAGTGTCCATGTACTTTTAAGTCATTTAATGCATTAAAAGTGCATTTATCAAAAATCCATTCCCAGCATAGAATTGCAGAATCGAATAGTTCTGGTCATGCTGGTCTAGTTTGTTACAAGTGCCATGTTTGTGACTTAACTGAGCCATGTAGCGAATCAGATTATTTTGCCCATTTGCGTACTCATTTGAGGAATAACGAGAAAGTTCAGTGTCCTTTCAAAGACTGTTCATTTGAGACTAATGTGTATTCCACGTTTAATGCACATAAAAGTAAGGCACACCACCACCACTGCTATAAAGATTTTAAAGTAGGGGTTGTTTTAAGCACTCAACGTAGTCACACAGAAGAAGATACAGCTTATCCAGTTGTTGACAGCTCAGGCAGTGAAGATGATTGTAATGTGGCAGAGGAACAAGACAATTTGGATGACACAAAACAAAAGTTGGAACACAATTTGGCATCACTTTTTCTGAAAATGCAAACAATCTTGCATATTTCTGATAGTGCGACACAAGAAATGATCCAACAGTTGAATCAAATTCATTTATTGTCTGGGCCACTGTTATATAGCACAATACAGCAGACTATTGTTAAGCACTGTGGTGAGGTAGAAAGCACAGTTGTGAAAGAGCTTGTCAGGACAGTTACTGACACCAGTGTGCTGTTTCACTGTACAAAGGAAGGAGGTCCTCTATCAACAACTAATAGGAGAGCATCATACTTTATGAGTGAATTTCCAGTTGTTATTCCTTTTGAGTACAAAATAGATGGAGATGATCAATATTATGTTTATGTCCCAATTATTCAAATGTTGCAGAAATTGCTAAATAAACAGGAAGTTCTTGATGAGGTGATGGCTGCTGGTGAGACCTCAAGGGGATACAGTAGTTACAGGGATGGTACCCATTATAGGGATAATTCATTTTTCGCAGAAGGTGATTGTAGAATATCCCTTAATCTCTACATAGATGATTTTGAAGTGGCCAATCCACTTGGAACGTCACGAAAAAAACACAAATTGTGTGCAATCTACTGGGTTCTAGCGAACTTGCCTGCAAAACACACATCATCTTTGCACACCATTCAGCTAGCTCTTTTGTGTAAAACAAATGTAGTTAAGCAACATGGCTACTCAAAAGTACTCCATCCACTAATTGAAGACCTGAAATGTCTTGAAGAGCAGGGAGTATATGTTGAGCAGTTGGGATCATGTGTAAGGGGATCTGTTCTGCATGTCCTGGCAGATAATCTGGGTGCCCATTCTTTGGCAGGATTTCAGGAGAGCTTTAGAGTGAATTTTCCTTGCAGATTTTGCATGGCCACAAGGGATGACATTCAAGTCAAATAAGTTAGGTCCGGCTCTTTTGAAATGAGGACAAAAGAAAAACACCAACAGCATGTTCAAGATGTTCTACTGGATAGTACTTTGGTGGCACAGTATGGCGTGAAGAGTAGCTGTCCATTGAGTGACAATTTGAAACACTTTAATGCAATTGGTGGTTTCCCCCCAGATCTGTTGCATGATCTCTTGGAGGGTGTTGTTCCTGTAGAGATGGCGGTGTGTTTGCAGGATTTAATTGGCAAACATTACTTTTCCCTGGATTCCTTAAATGGTGCCATCGAACGATTCCCATACAAATTTTCAGACAGGACTGACCAGCCACAGCCAATTCCAAAATCATACACAAGTAAGCGAACAATAGGGGGAAACGGCCATGAGAATTGGGCCCTCTTGAGGCTCCTCCCACTTTTGATTGGCCATAAAGTGGGAGAGAATGACCATACCTGGGAAATTCTAATGTTGTTGAAAGATAGTTGAATTGGCTTTGTCTACTCACTTTTCTGATGACACTGTGGAATTCTTGAATTGCAAGATCTCAGAACACAGAGCTTTGCTTAAAGAAGTGTTTCCAAACTTTGTGCTGCGTCCAAAGCATCACTACATGGAGCATTATCCTCAGCTGATCAGAATGTATGGGCCATTGAGGAATTTATGGACAATCAGATTTGAGGGGAAACATAAATTCTTCAAAAAAGTCATCCGTGATGCACAAAATTTCAAAAATGTTCCCCTAATGCTGGCCAAGAAGCATCAAATGGCAATTGGCTATCACATGGATGGCAGTTCTTTTTTCAAGCCAAGAGTACAAATGGACAGGGTCTATAGTTCACTTATCACAGCCTTTCCTGAAAATGTTCAGGAATATCTAGAGCTGCGGAGTCCAAATTGTAGTACTGTGCTAGTTTCATCCAGTGTTTACATTGATGGAATTAAGTACTGCCCAAACATGGTGGTTTCAGTTGGATCTTGTTCAGGTTTGCCAGAATTCAAGCAGATTGAGAAAATCTTGACGATCAACACTGACATAATTTTCCTGTGCAAACCTCAGACTGCATGGTACATTGAGCATTTGCGCTCTTATGAATTGTGCAGCTTACATTCACTGCAAGTTGTTTTGCCATCTGAACTAAATGACCCCTTCCCTTTGGCAGCTTATAATCTCCGAGGCCAATTCTATATCACATTGAAGTATTTCATCTGCTGCTAAATGACATTCTTTTGTATTATTTCTTGTTTTTTTTTTACTACTTCTCTTCTTTTTTTTCCCCATTTTAGAATTTCACTTAGCCATGCCGATGGTACTCCGCGTTATTGTGCACGACAGTGACATCAGAAAAGTAACCATTCCTGAAAAACCAGCTGATGTTGATGCTTTGAAACATGTGTTGCAAGAGAAGCTGCAGCTCACCTACACCTTCAGTGTCCAATTTGAAGACCCTGACTTTAATAATGCATTATGTAATGTCAGTGACATTAATGATTTGCCAGAGAAGGCAACACTGAAAATAATTCCTCAACAAACATCTCCCTCCTCAAGTCAAGCTAGCACTGTACTTCTCTCAGGTTCTGATACATCAGAGCAGTTGTCTGCTGAACGACTGCTTGAATGGCCTGAGGAATTTGAAATATCCAAATTATCTGTTAATGTTGAGTACCGTCTCCGTCAGGGAAACCTTGCTTTTATGAAGGATGGAACAACTCTTAATGTTGGAAGAGACATAAAACATGACATACTGGAAGCACTTGCTGGGGCCATGTACACCTTTAAGGCATATCCAAGAGATGAAGATTTTGCCCAAGTTGCTGCAGCTCTAATCAAAGCACATCCCTGTTTGACTGAACAGGGCTCTCCAACAGGCTCAGCTGGCTGGAAAAACAGCCTGAAATTTAAAATGGCCAACTATAGAACAAAACTGCGTAAATGTGGCTGTAGTGATGTTGCAGTTGGTGGAAAGAGAGGTGCAACGATGGCAACAAAGTCAGGATTTAAAAAACCCAGGCGATTTGAATTAAATTTCTTGCCAAACTTTCCTAATGGGGAAGATGAAGAAAGTCAAGAATGCACAAGAATAGAACTTATAGAAGAAATGAAAAAGAGGCCCCCAAACGTGAGCCTGATTGGCAAGAAGATGGACAGCACATTTGCTTTGAGACGGAAAGAAATCATCCACTCTGAACCTCCTGTTTGTGAGATTTTGAAGAAGTGGCCAGCACTTTTCACGGAAAGCCAGGTTTGTTTACTTTTCCTCTTCAAAACCCTGTGTTTTTTAATGAATTGTGTGTTTTAATGAATTGTGTGTTTTAATGTTAACAACCACTCTATGTTTGTGCTTAGATCTTTGCAGAATTCAATCGCATATCTGGGAAAAATCTGAGATCTCAGTTCTACGCAGCGTGGACACGCACTCTGCCCGCTTGTTTGAAATTTTCCGGAAAAAAGGAGGAAACCAGGGAAGAATACTTAATGAAATTTTGCAACAAGTAAATTCAAAGGTATTCTTTTATGATGCTGTGTTTGAATCATGATTTGCATATGATTGATACCCTCGGCCAATAACGTGTCTACCTGTCTACTTTTTCTTAGCCATCTGATGTAACATTTGTTCGCACCGCAGTACTTCAGGGACTTCCAATCCTCTTGGGGGATGACCCAGAAGAATTTTTCAGGACGTGCTTTGTAAGTAATGATATTGGTGTTTCTGCTTTCTTAAATTGCCATTTTGTTTTATTCCATGAGAGTATAGCTCATGTTAGGAAAAATAATAATTCTGGGTAAAAATTTGTAGTTTTGCAGTAGATACTATATTTGTCTCTTGTGAAACAATTCTGATTATTCCTTCTCTACTTAGGATGTGGATGTAGAAGCAGACTTCAGTGAAGTAGATGTTGGCCTGCTCACAATTGTACCTGAAGAAATGCCTGCCAAACGTCCAAATGCCCTCAACGTGGACGCAATGAGAGCAATCGTTTTGGAGGGAACAATTGTCGTGGATGATGTCCCAAATTTGCCACATGCTGTATGTCTCCTTTTTGCCTTGATCTATGCTCTAAATTTAGACTACCCAAAGACAATGAGGAACACATTTGATTTCATTCAGCGGGTATTTCTGTCTTTGGGAGGGAAGAATCTCAAACCCAAACTCCAAACCCTTAAAAATCAGCTTTTAAGCTAAACTTTTCTCCTTACTTTCTGCCTTGGATGGCTAAGCTGCTGTGTTTAAGGAGATAGTTCACCCCAAAATGAAAATTCTGTCAGTAATTACTCTCCCTCATGTTGTTCCAACCCCGTAATACTTTTGTTCATCTTCGTAACACAAATTAAGATAGGTTTGATTAAATCTGGGAGCTGTCTCACTCCTCTATAAGCTTCTAAGGGATCGAAACTGGCCAGCCCAGAAAAGTTATTAAAGACATCGTTAAAATAGTTCAAGTGACTACAGTGGCTCAATCTCAAGTTTATCAAGCGACGAGAATATTTTTTGTGCGCAAAAAACAAACAAAAATAACGACTTTATTCAACTATTAATTTCCTTCTCTGTGGGCCTTGAGTGAGTTCACGTAGTGTATCAGCACAGCGCTTCTGTGTTGTACGTCACACACAGGCTCACTATTGGCCGACGCTGGTCATGTGTGTGATGCGTGTGACGTATAACACAGAAGCGCTGCGCTGATACACTATGAGAACTCACTCAAGACAGACAAAGAAGAAAATTAATAGTTGAATAAAGTCGTTATTTTTGTTTTTTTATTGCGCACAAAAAGTATTCTCGTCGCTTGATAAGCTTAAGATTGAGCCACTGTAGTCACTTGGACTATTTTAACGATTTCTTTAATAACTTTGGGGCCGGCCAGTTTCAGCCCCCCTAAACTTCTGCCTAGCCCCCCTAAAAATGTGAGATTAATGTAGGCTACACAAATTCGTGTTCGCTTCAGTCTTGTTATAATCAGAATCAGCGCGTTCTTCATCTTCAATCCGCAGCGGCGCCGAGCAGAGAGCACGTCAGAAACAGAGGACAGGGTGTGTGTGTGTGTTCATGTGTGTGTTTATCTGAGCCTCATTGGTCTGTCACTGCTCGTCAATGTCAGAATATTTGAGATGACCAATCAAATCAAAGTAGGCGGGCTTTATGTTCACAGATGCTGCTGAGCGCGAACTTTGGCGAATTTTAACAGTGCGACTCGACGCGTACGGTCAAGTGCGAGATAAGATGTAAGTAGCTAAACTTAACATTTCATATTTTACTTTTTTTATGTCATAAATGTTAAACGAATGACAAAATATAATTAGGCAAACTAATATAGTTGTGTCTAATTTCGCAATTTTGAGCTGAAAATAGGCCTATGTAACGTGACTCATGTAATAATTAGTTTACAAGAAACATTAACAAAGCCGTTTTCATCATGTTAGGCACAAGATTAATAATGAATGTGTACATATTGAGAATATAATACAAATTGTAGCCTTTAGTAAATTAAAAAAGCTCAGCTTTAGGAGGGGAAGAGGGATGAAGAGACTGAGAAAAAAAGAAAGAGTGATGGAGATGAGAAGAGAGCAGCAGGTATTGACAAAAAAATAATCTGCCCACTGACATGGTTTTAAAGCTATTTCTTATCCTTTTTTTTTGGTCTTCAAACGTCTTGAAATGCACATATCAGAGAAATAAAAAATTTGAACCCCCTACCAACCTCAAATTTAGAACCTCTGTGATTATAAAGCCCTGTCTACGGCCCTGTATTAGGCATAAGATCAATAATAAATGTGTAGCCTACATATTGTGAATGCATTTAATAAACTTAATTACCTTTAGTTGCTTTCAGTAAATAAACGCGTCTGAGAAAATGATTCATAGGCAAAATCACCCTATCAGTTGACCCTATGTTTACTTTCTTCACTGACAGACAAAAATGAAAAGCCTATATCAGTCAAAGCTCAGCTTTAGGAGGGGAAGAGACAGGGCAAGAGAAAAACAAAGAGAAAAAGAGTGTGATGCTGATGAGGAGAGAAAAATAATCAGCTGCCCACTATCCAAGTTTTTTGGCCTTCAGAACATCTTAAAATACACATATGTAGATCAGAGAAATCAAATTTTTCTCGGGGAGACCCCGAACCCCCGTATTTGCCCTGCCTCACATTTGGGACCACAGTTATTATAAAACCGTGCCTTTGCATCGTAATGAAAATGGTTAATAGTGAGCTTTAGATCCTAAACTAAAGTGTTACTTTTTTATAATTTTTTTAAAAATCATATTGGGGGCTTAGCCCCCCTAAAATGAAAATCCTAGTGACGCCCCTGCATATTGGCACATTCATTTGCACTAATTTCAAGTGGCCACTAGTTCAAATAAGTTAGGGTTAGTAAGCCACATACTGTTTCAAGGTAAAAAAAAAAGGTCTGTATTTATGGGTTGTAAAGGCCTATTTTATGTTATTTTTGCTGTTTTGTTTGCATATGCCTGTTTTTAAAATGTCATGATAGCAGAATGTTGCTAGCCAAGAGGTCAAGAGAACACGGATGTTTTAAAGTATTTTTTATTGTGATGTTCTTAATCTGTAAAAACATGTTTTTTACAAAAAATAAACAGTTGAGAATTTCACACTTGTGTTAAGTGCATTCCATGCTAGTTGAACTACCAAAAATACGTTTACTTTACTTGAAGAAAATGTGGAAACCGATTGCACATATTTTTTTAAGTCTCTGTAGCTTAAAATGGCAAATTAAAACCATGTTGAGAATAATAGTATTTAAGATGTTTGCAGAACACATTATAACACTGTTAGTTAAATGGAATTACTCAAGTGATCTTAATATTAAATCTTAAGTAGTATTAGTAAATATTATTGAGTATGTTAACTAGAACTTTATATTAAACTAACTTGATATTTACTACTTAATTTACTTGGGAAGAGTTTGCTTTCTTTACTTTTAACTGATTATTAACTTAACTTCAGGTTTCCTTTTAAGTTTGCTTTGCAAAAATAAGGCAATCGGTTTCCAAACTTTTTTTAAGTAAACTGAACTTGTTAGAATTTACAGTGTGTGTTGCCAGGACCCTCCCTGCTCTGCTTCTGATAGGCTTCTAACGTTAGTTAGAGCTGCATTCCTCTCATATGATTGGTAGGTGAAATCAATTGACTCGAAAATATAAAACCGCATGCAAGTTCACAATTATTTTTCCCCTTCACGGCCGCACGCCGGAGATCCGGCACGGTGCCGGATCTCTTTAAGCCCTGTCTAAAAGCTTGTTGAGAAATAATGACAAAAACCTTAAACTTAAAAAAAAATAACGTATCTCTTGTTAAACGACATTTAAATTTAAACCCAGAAGTCTGTCCCAACCACCGCCGCCTTTAGTTTAAACTTAACTTTTTACTTTACTAGCTCCCTCCTCTTTCAGTCTATGCTCCCTGGTCTGGCTCATTCTTCATCTTCCTTGTGTTTTCTGGTGGACGTACGCGTACGCTCCGTACGTTTCCAATTTCCATGATCATTTCTCGCGCTGGTTTCACTGCAAACTGCGCACAGCCAATGGGCGTATGAAACGTCATCACGTAGCATTACGGCACAGTGTTCATGGGAAATATAGGAAGTACTGCCAGGGGGATAAATGACCGAGAACAGAGCCTTATGCATCACCGGCCAAACTGGCTAGTAAGTATTTATTATTGTTAATTTAGAACCCTGGTCGCATCGCGCCGCTCGCGTCCGGTGTCTTGTTCAGGCAGCAGCAGACCAGCAGTCAAGTGGTGTCTTAAAGGTAAGTTGCAAACTAGTTACCAGTACGGTGGTGGCATGAGTCTGTTTAATGGTGATTTAACGCTACGTTGTCACCTGGTGAGACGCAATGCTATAAAGTAAATAAACACTGTCGCTGTTTTTTACTCTCACATTGATCTTATCATACTCGTTTGCTACATTAGCTAGCTAGCCATGTTTCATATCTTGCCAGTGGAGTGGAAGCTAATGTGTGTGCATCTTACACAGTGTCTGAAGAAGAGACCTTCTTACTGAAGTGAAAGGGTTGGCTGGTGTCACTACAGTGACCTGGGTCTCCAGTAGCAAACAATGGAGAGTGCTCTGCTGGACAAACGTAGCTACACTATTTACAAGCATTTTATCTGCGTTATATGTTCTGTAAAAAAAAAGAAGTTAATATCAGCGGCATATCTGCGTCATATATGCCGATGCCAATATATCTTTACATATTAAACTCAAGTAACCATTGAGCACTCTACCATCTTTGAGCTCCGATTATAAAAAGAAAAAAAATATGTATTATCCTTGTTGATGTCTTAACCAATTTATGTGTTTGTTACTACATACCTTCTGTAATTTGTTTCAAGCCAATCGGACCATTGCACACTGAGATATGGGTATGTGTTCGCACTGTCTGGCGGCCATTTTGAAAGCTGTCTGAAAACTTTCACCAGAAGAGGAGCCCCTTGTTGTTGTTTAGACTTTTGCATTTTATAACCTGGAACCTGGATG